GAAAACTTTAAATTAGAATGTTTCAGATTTTCGATTTTTTATGTTTTTTCGCGGGGTGACAATTGTCTACCCCGTCACCCCCCTGGCTCCGCCCCTCGCTGCAGTGATTTCTGTGTGTGGGTGAACATCGCCGTGGCGTATCTGACTTTTGAGTGGGGCGCGGGGCTGGTGCACGGGGTCCGCGTAGATTACAATCTCATAACGACCGTCACCGTTTGCCCGCGCCCGCGTTCGCACGGCAGAAGTGGCCACCAACGGCGAGACGTGCGCCCCAGGGTCCCGCCGCAGGTCACCTCCTCCTTTTCGTTTGCATCAGCGGCGGCAGGGCAGAGGTGCACATTGCATACGGGCATTTATTTTTTTTTGGGGGGGGGGGGGGGGGGGGGGGAGCGCCGGGCCGTGGCGGGCGACGTGCGCCTGCCGGGGCAAGCCGCCACCTCCGCAACCGGCGGTGGTGGTGCACGCGGGGGAGTGTGTGTGTGGGATAACTCCCGGGCGGTGGCGACCCAGCCAGCGAGCCGTGTCCCTCGGAGAGGGCGCTGGTGCGGGGGCGGGGGGGAGCGGGGGGCCGGGGGCGATCACCCGATCGGCGGGGGCCCCGGCGAGAAGTGGCCGAGGAGGAGGAGGAGGAGGGGGGTGGGCGTCGGCCCCCACGCCAACATGAACCACACATTGCTCTCGGTAAAAGACACGTTGACGATAAACGACGATTGTAAACTATTCTTTATTTTATTTTAGCAGGTGTAAGGTCCCGCCGAAGCTGTGGAGTGGCTCCTTTGTTAGAAGCGACCACCTGAATGAGAGCTGCTCGACCAAGCGGCGGCTTATCGTTATCATCATCATCATCGCCACCGCCACCACGTGGACATTTTACAGCGGCAGCCGAATGCTCTCATAGCGTAGCGACGTCGATTCTAAACGTGGAGAGGGGGAAAAACCGGAGGACCCGGAGAAAAATTCACGCGACCACGGGGAGAGAGAGAGAGAGACGCGGACTCCAAATACACAGCAGCAGCAAGCGTCGTCAGGGGTCGGGATCGAACCCACAACCTCCTGCGTACCAGGCGAGGTAGTCAACATCTCCGAGCCATCGTGATGATGATGATAGACGCAGACTCCGAATACACAGCAGCAGCAGCAAGCGTAGTCAGGGGTTGGGATCGAACCCACGGCCTCCTGCGTACCAGGCGAGGTAGTCAACATCTCCGAGCCATCGTGATGATGATGAGAGACGCAGACTCCGAATACACAGCAGCAGCAGCAAGCGTAGTCAGGGGTCGGGATCGAACCCACGTCCTCCTGCGTACCAGGCGAGGTAGTCAACATCTCCGAGCCATCGTGATGATGATGATGAGAGACGCAGACTCCGAATATACAGCAGCAAGCGTTGTCAGGGGTCGGGATCGAACCCACGGCCTCCTGCGTACCAGGCGAGGTAGTCAACATCTCCTAGCCATCGTGATGATGATGATGAGAGACGCAGACTCCGAATATACAGCAGCAAGCGTTGTCAGGGGTCGGGATCGAACCCAAGACCTCCTGCGTACCAGGCGAGGTAGTCAACATCTCCGAGCCATCGTGATGATGATGATGAGAGACGCAGACTCCGAATACACAGCAGCAGCAGCAGCAGGCGTCGTCAGGGGTCGGGATCGAACCCACGACCTCCTGCGTACCAGGCGAGGTAGTCAACATCTCCTAGCCACCGCGGCACATTTGCATTGTCCCTGAAACCGACAGGCCTACACCAGGGCTCCAGACTCCTCTACGGTCGTGCCTCACCACCGGTGTTGGGCCAGAGAACGACAACCCCAAAGGGCGAACGATACAAGGACAATGCACACACAAAATACGTTCTGATCATAGTAATGAATGATGCACGCGTTGCAATTCGAGACCGATTGGCCTACACCAGACCTACAGCCTCCTCCTGGACAGCCTCGTCTCACCACCGGTGGGAGACCGGAGCAGGATGCCAAGATAGCGAACAGCACAAGCGCAATGCACACACCAGAAGCATCGATGCAGCGAGTTTTGGGGCGAGCGGCGACATCTGTGGGACTCTTCCTTCATCCTGTTAACTGGTCACCAATTCTAACAAGCGCCCTGTTAAGGCCACATACGGAGTGCTGCTGCTATTGACACGGAATGTGTTTGAACTTGGTTCGACTTTTGTATTGTAGCAGCAGTAGCAGCAGTAGTAGTAGCAGTAGTAGTAGCAGTAGTAGCAACAGTAGTAGCAGTAGTAGTAGTAGCAGCAGTAGTAGCAGTAGTAGTAGTAGCAGCAGTAGTAGCAGTAGTAGTAGCAGCAGTAGTTGTAGTAGTAGCAGCAGTAGTAGTAGCAGCAGTAGCAGCAGCAGCAGCCGCAGTAGCAGCCGCAGTAGTAGCAGCAGTAGTAGCAGCAGCAGCAGTAGTAGTAGCAACAGCAGTAGTAGTAGCAACAGCAGTAGTAGTAGCAGTAACAGCAGCAGTAGCAGCAGTAGTAGCAGCAGTAGTAGCAGCAGTAGTAGTAGCAACAGCAGTAGTAGTAGCAGTAACAGCAGCAGTAGCAGCAGTAGTAGCAGCAGTAGTAGCAGCAGCAGTAGTTGTAGTAGTAGCAGCAGCAGCACACAGCAGTAACAGCAGCAGTAGTAGTAGCAGCAGTAGTAGTAGTAGCAGCAGTAGTAGTAGCAGCAGCAGTAGTAGTAGCAGTAACAGCAGCAGTAACAGCAGTCACCACCGCCGGTGTAATTGGTCTCAACGGCAGTCTATATTTTGGTCTACTCTTCCTTCCAATCCGTCCGTGCGTCCATCACCCACGCCTCTCCGGACGTCTTGGAAGATTTTGGTGTCGAAGGTACCCCCCCCCCCCCCATCCCCAAATCACAGAAACGCCAAACAAAGACAAAGATTCCCCGCGTAGCCTCTAACAGGCTGTAGGGGCAAGTGCTGTTAGCGAGCAGCACCTATACACAGACAAAGATCCCCCGTGTAGCCTCTAACAGGCTGTAGGGGCAAGTGCTGTTAGCGAGTAGCAGCAGCACCTATACACAGACAAAGATCCCCCGTGTAGCCTCTAACAGGCTGTAGGGGCAAGTGCTGTTAGCGAGCGGCACCTATGAAGGCTACCGGCGCTGTGGCACACGAGGGGGTGGGTGGCCAGCACCACCACGCCCGGCCGCCTTTGTCTCTCCCCCCAGCTAGTTTACCGCAAGAAGCCGGGTACTCATTTGCGGCTGAGTCGACCTAGGGGAGGCCCAGTACCGGTTAAAATAATCGTCACCGGTGGTGTTGGTGGCGGTGAGCGGGAATCGAACTCGGGTCATAGCCGGGGATCGTAGTGCAGCGTAGCGCTAACCGCTGCACCACCGCCCCCTCCTACCGCACACACACACAGAGTCCACACACACCACAATTCACACACACACACCACAACCCACATGCCACACACAACTCACACAGCCCACACACACAAACAACCCCCACACACCCCAAACCCAACACCCCACCCAACACCCCACACGCACCCCACCCAACACCCCACACACACACAACCCCCACACACACCACAATCCACATGCCACACACAACTCACACAGCCCACACACACAAACAACCCCAACACACCAAACCCAACACCCCACCCAACACCCCACACACACCCCACCCAACACCCCACACACACACAACCCCCACACACACAACCCACAAGCCATACACACAAACAACCCACACACACCACAACCCCCACACACACCACAATCCACATGCCACACGCAACTCACACAGCCCACACACACAAACAACCCCCACACACACCAAACCCAACACCCCACCCAACACCCCACACACATCCCACCCAACACCCCACACACCACAACCCCCACACACACACACAACTCACACAGCCCACACACACAAACAACCCCCACACACCAAACCCAACACTCCACCCAACACCCCACACACATCCCACCCAACACCCACACACCACAACCCCCACACACACACAACTCACACAGCCGACACACAAAAACAACCCACACACACCCGACCCAACACCCCACCCAACACCCCACACACATCCCACCCAACACCCCACACACAACCCACACACACACAGCCCACACACACAACACACACAGCCCACACACACACACACCACACACACACAACTCACACAGCCCACACACACAAACAACCTACACACACACACACCCCACCCACCCCACACACACCACACACACACCACACACACACACTCCACACACAAACAACCCACACACATACACACCCCACCCACCCCACACACACACACACTCCACACAGAAACAACCCACACACACACCTCACCCACCCCACACACACACACACACACCACACACACACACAACCCACACACAAACAACCCACACCCAAGCCACAACATTGACAAATCACAATCTGTGAATGTCGTGGCTTGGCTCTCCAACACACACACACGCACACACACACACGCACACACACACACGCACACACACACGCACGCACACACACACACGCACACACACGCACACACACGCGCTGCTGTACCAGTGACGAAAGTGTCCACGTTGTATCCACGTGACGAACCCCTGACCCAATTGGCCATCTCGGGCGGTGGCGGGTTTTCTGTGTTTGTTTTTTTTTAGTCTTTGACGACACGACCCCGTTTGTGCATCGACGCGTCCGCGCGCAAATCTCTTTCCCCGCACAGCGCTCGCATTGGTCCCGGATGGGCTGGCGATGGCGGCGGGGGAAATAAATCCCCTGCGTCTCCTCCTCGGTCCAAAAAGAACGTGGAAGCTCCCCCCGCATCGTCGTCATCGTCGTCATCGTTGTCATCGTCGTCGTTAAAACGCCGCTGTAATTTTTGTCATCGTCGCCGTGCGCACACACGGGATCATTCGTCGAGGCGATTAGCGACGAGCGCCCCCCCGGTGAGGCACTCGGGTAAGTCGCTCCGAAGGTTGGACGAAACGCGAAAATGTAGAGCGCTGTAAGGTAACGCATCTCCACAGGAAACCACGTTATAGCGACCTCCTATAGCGCTGTTTCCTATAGCGCTGTGGGTAACGCATCTCCACAGGAAACCACGTTATAGCGACCTCATATAGCGCTGTTTCCTATAGCGCTGTTGGTAACGCATCTCCATAGGAAACCACGTTATAGCGACCTCCTATAGCGCTGTTTCCTATAGCGCTGTGGGTAACGCATCTTCACAGGAATGACGTTAGAGCGACCTCCTATAGCGCTGTTGGTAACATATCTCCACAGGAAACCACGTTAAAGCGACCTCCTATAGCGCTGTTTCCTATAGCGCTGTGGGTAACGCATCTACACAGGAAACCACGTTAGAGCGACCTCCTATAGCGCTGTTTCCTATAGCGCTGTAAGGTAACGCATCTCCACAGGAAACCACGTTATAGCGACCTCCTATAGCGCTGTTTCCTATAGCGCTGTAGGGTAACACATCTCCATAGGAAACCACGTTATAGCGACCTCCCATAGCGCTGTTTCCTATAGCGCTGTGGGTAACGCATCTCCGCAGGAAACCACGTTATAGCGACCTCCTATAGCGCTGTTTCCTATAGCGCTGTGGGTAACGCATCTCCATAGGAAACCACGTTATAGCGACCTCCTATAGCGCTGTTTCCTATAGCGCTGTGGCTAACGCATCTTCACAGGAAACCACGTTATAGCGACCTCCTATAGCGCTGTTTCCTATAGCGCTGTGGGTAACGCATCTCCAGAGGTACCACGTTATAGCGACCTCCTATAGCGCTGTTTCCTATAGCGCTGTGGGTAACGCATCTCCACAGGAAACCACGTTAAAGCGACCTCCTATAGCGCTGTTTCCTATAGCGCTGTGGGTAACGCATCTCCATAGGAAACCACGTTAGAGCGACCTCCTATAGCGCTGTTTCCTATAGCGCTGTGGGTAACGCATCTCCACAGGAAACCACGTTATAGCGACCTCATATAGCGCTGTTTCCTATAGCGCTGTGGGTAACGCATCTCCACAGGAACCACGTTAGAGCGACCTCCTATAGCGCTGTTTCCTATAGCGCTGTTTCCTATAGCGCTGTTTCCTATAGCGCTGTGGGTAACACATCTCCACAGGAAACCACGTTATAGCGACCTCCTATAGCGCTGTTTCCTATAGCGCTGTGGGTAACGCATCTCCATAGGAACCACGTTAGAGCGACCTCCTATAGCGCTGTTTCCTATAGCGCTGTTTCCTATAGCGCTGTGGGTAACGCATCTCCATAGGAACCACATTATAGCGATCTCCTATAGCGCTGTTTCCTATAGCGCTGTGGGTAATGCTACTTCACAGGAAACACGTTATAGCGACCTCCTAAAGCGCTGTTCCGTACAGCGCTCCGTTAACCAACAACGCATTCCTGAGCGCTGTAAGAGGCATGCCTACACCACGGCCAAGGACATTCGCGAAAGACCTGAAAATGTAAAGGCGCGAAGATTCGCATTCCTCCTGACAATGCATTCGAAACCTGTTGAAACTTATGGACAATTCCACATGCCTCTGGCAGGGATGAGTCATCGCCACAACTGTGTCAATGCTCATTTTATCCGGCTCGGAGTTGTCGTGATGATGATGCTGATCAATGAATGAATGCATCTGCTACTGACAATAATACTGGTAGGAACCTCCTGGTTACACCACCAGCCCACAGGGGATTATTATTGTGTCCGTCCGTCGTGCATCCAAACATGGGAGGGGTGGGGCTGGGTGGAGAGGGGCTGGGTGGGGAAGGAGGGGCTGGGTGGGGAGGGAGGGGCTGGGTGGGGAGGGAGGGGCTGGGTGGGGAGGGTGGGGCTGGGTGGGGAGGGGCTGGGCGGGGAGGGAGGGGCTGGGTGGGGAGGTGGGAGGGGTGGGGAGGGGTGGGCTGGGTGGGGAGGGGCTGGGCGGGGAGGGAGGGGCTGGGTGGGGAGGGTGGGGCTGGGTGCGGAGGGAGGGGCTGGGCGGGGAGGGTGGGGCTGGGTGGGGAGGTGGGAGGGGTGGGGCTGGGTAGGAGGGGTGGGGCTAGGTGGGGAGGGGTTGGTCACCCCGTGGTGCCCTTATAAAACTCAACGTTTAACCTACTCACGCCGGCTTGTGCCCGCCCTCACAGTCGGGCACATTGTGCGGAATACACCACGTGGTGGTGCCGCCCTTGTTGACCCTGGCCATTGACCGAGCAACCCAACGTTCCTACCAGCTCCCTCCGCAGGAGAATGTGTTTATATTGATGATGGTGATACCACTGCTGCTGCTGATGCCCATGATGATGGTGATACTACTGCTGTCGATTCCACTGCTGATGACCATGATGAAGAAATGGAGATGATGGCGACGCTGCTGATGATGATGATTCTACTGCTAATGATGATGGTGGTGAAGATGACGATGCTGATAACGGTGACGTGGATAATGAAGATTCAAACCTGGGGAGCTTGTAACCTTAAGTGGATTTGACGCATTCCATCACGCTATCATCAGCTGTTACAATAGTAAGCTTGTTTTTTTGGTGGAGGGGGCCATGCGTGGATGCGCACAAATGGCCGTGGGTTATCCATTACCGGGTCGGGATATTCACGCGGCGATCAACGCGCATTTTTATATGTATATATGTATATGTACGCGATCTAAAACCCTGCAAATTTAAACGTGCGTCACGGATTTACAGCGGGGTTCGCGAATCACGCTCGCGTAACAACCGCACCCGTTCGCATTCCTCACGCCGACGGACCTTCCGACCGACGGCTCCGCGGGCACATCGCAGCCGCAAACCTTAACGGGACAACAAAAGTTAAACGTCGAATTGCCCTTTTTTTTTAAATAAAAAATAAAAAAACAGAATCCACGAAACGCGTTGGGAACAATTCGCGTTTTGAACGCAGCGCAAAAAACCTTGGCCTGCGAGCGTCTTGCGAGACGGGCAAAAAAAAAACCATGTAAATAAATATTAGATCTAGATCAACGAGCCAGGGTCCGGCAATACGAGCGGGCGGGACGCGGACGCGCCCGGCCTCGCCCAGCATCACGTGATCGCACAACTGGTGTACGAGCGCTTTTGCGATACGAACGGGTGCTTCGGATCACAAACACGTCTTTCCGGACCGGATTACGCTCGCAATCCCAAGGTTTTACACACTGTATAGATATATATAGATAGATAGATATGGAGTCGAGTAAGATAAATACGGGTACCATCAAGAGTTTTGACGGGGAGGAGTGGTGGCGCAGTGGTTGACGCACCCAATGGCGGAGCCAGGATTTTTCTATCAATGAAAAAACGATGGGGGGAGTTGTTAGTGAGCAAGGACCTGTCCCTTATATTCTTGGTTCTTTCGGTAAAGTCGCGCTGGAGGGAAACAATAAAATAATAAAAATATATATTCTTAGTTTTTTCGGTAAAGTCACGTCGAAGAGAAACAACAAAATATATATAAAACAATAAAAAAATTCTCACGACGTTTCGACCATAACTCAAACGGTCATCTTCAGGTGTGTGATAAAATATATATAAAACAATAAAAAATTCTCACGACGTTTCGACCATAACTCAAACGGTCATCTTCAGGTGTGTGACCGTTTGAGTTATGGTCGAAACGTCGTGAGGATTTTTTTATTGTTTTATATATATTTTATTATTTTGTTGTTTCTCTTCAACGTGACTTTACCGAAAAAACTAAGAATATGAATTACTGCAGTCACGAAAGCTTTAAATAAAAATAAAAATATATTTCATCGTTTCCCTTCAACGCGACTTTAAACGTACTTTATCATTCTATTGTTTCCCTGCAACGCGACTTTAAACGTACTTTATCATTCTATTGTTTCCATTCAACGCGACTTTAAACGTACTTTATCATTCTATTGTTTCCCTTCAACGCGACTTTAATAGGTACTTTATCATTCTATTGTTTCCCTTCAACGGAAAACTTTAAACGTACTTTATCATTCTATTGCTTCCATTCAACGCGACTTTAAACGTACTTTATCATTCTATTGTTTCCCTTCAACGCGACTTTAAACGTACTTTATCATTCTATTGTTTCCCTTCAACGGAAAACTTTAAACGTACTTTATCATTCTATTGTTTCCCTTCAACGCGACTTTAAACGTACTTTATCATTCTATTGTTTCCCTGCAACGCGACTTTAAACGTACTTTATCATTCTATTGTTTCCCTTCAACGCGACTTTAAACGTACTTTATCATTCTATTGTTTCCCTGCAACGCGACTTTAAACGTACTTTATCATTCTATTGTTTCCCTTCAACGCGACTTTAAACGTACTTTATCATTCTATTGTTTCCCTGCAACGCGACTTTAAACGTACTTTATCATTCTATTGTTTCCCTTCAACGCGACTTTAAACGTACTTTATCATTCTATTGTTTCCCTGCAACGCGACTTTAAATGTACTTTATCATTCTATTGTTTCCCTTCAACGCGACTTTAAACGTACTTTATCATTCTATTGTTTCCCTTCAACGCGACTTTACCGAGAGAGCCAAGAATATACGAATCGCCGCAGTCACGAAAGCCTTAAATCAAAATTTGACCTGAACCCTTGCTTCTTTTATTTTTTTAAATCCGAAGCGTGCGCGGCGATGACGCAGCCGCCGATCGAGCCGTCGAACTCGGACCGCGCCGAGGGCGATCGCCATCACCACCCCAACGTCGCCATCGCGCTCGGCCAAGGTGAATGCCTTCAGTTAAGCCGCGGAACTCCTGCGAGCCGCCTGTTGTAACCGCTTTGCCGTTGCTTATCGCCAATTACGGGACTCGGACCATCGTCCTATCATCTCGTAGAGTCCCTGGCCACGTGATAATATTCTACACGGTGGCGGGGGCGATTGGGGGCGATTGGGGGGCGGGGGCGGGGGGTGGTGGTCGCAAAATCCCGATCGATCACTGATCAATACTCTTTGGCTCTTTCGGTAAAATCAAAGTAGGTAGGAAAAATAGAATGAACATAGATCACGGCCGTTCGTTTCGATCGCAACACAGGCGATCGCCATCACGGGCGAGACGATCGGAGCAGGGAAACTGCCGAAGCCGGCAAACTGATGACGGACGGACGGACGGACGGACGGACGGACGGACGGACGGTCGCTCGCATGATCTATTATTATTATTATTATTATTTTCTTCGACCTACGAGACTTCACCGAGAGAAACCAAAGGGGAATGGATTCCTGCAGTGACGAAAGCTTCGAATCAAGATTGTTGCTAATGAACCCCGATGATCCGATCAAAATTAGGGATTTCGATCGGATCATTGGGGGGAGCACGTGCCCCCCGACCGCCCCCCGACCGCCCCCCACCCCCGCCCCCCCCACTGGATCCGCCAGTGGGCGCACCACCACCCACACACCACCCCAACGTCACCAACCCCGACACTGATGGCCAAGACGGTGAAGTATGGTCAAAGCACACCGATGAACATCGATTAGCGGTCTTTGCCTAAACCACCACCGCCACCCACCGCTGCTGCCGCCACCACCTCCACCATCGCCACCACCACCACCGTCTCCACCACCACTACCATCATCGCCACCACCACCACCTCCACCATCGCCACCACCACCGTCTCCACCACCACTACCACCATCGTCACAACCACTACCACCATCGCCACTACCACCTCCACCACCACCTCCACCACCGTCTCCACCACCACCACCACCATCTCCACCACCACCTCCACCATCGCCACCACCACCTCTACCGCCATCGCCACTACCACCACCATCGCCACTAACACCACTACCACCATCGCCACTACCACCTCCACCACTACCACCATCGCCACTAACACCACTACCACCATCGCCACTACCACCGTCTCTACCACCACTACCACCGTCTCCACCATCGCCACTCCCACCTCCACCACCACTACCACTACCACTATTGCCACCAAAGACAAAGATCCCACATGTAGCCTTAACAGACTGCTGGGGCAAGTGCTGTTAGCGAACACCTATATGAAGGCTGGCACGGCACACGAGGGGGTGGGTGGCCAGCACCACGCTCGGCCGCCTTTGTCTCCCCAGTGGCGATGGTTACTTACACATCGTACCAGATTACTCATTCGAGGCCGAGTCTACCTAGGGGAGGTCCAGGACCGGTTCAGATAATCGTCACCAGTGGTGTTGGCCGTGAGCGGAAATCGAACTCGGGTCGCCGGGTTCGTTTAGCGCAGCGTAGCGCTAACCGCTCCACCGCCTAATCGCCACCATCACCACCACCGCCACCACCCCCATCACCGCCACCACCGCCATCACCAGCACCACCGCCACCACCCCCATCACCACCACCACCGCCATCACCGCCACCACCGCCACCACCGCCATCACCGCCATCACCGCCACCAACGCCATCACCACCACCATGTCCACCCACGTGTTCACCACCTCCACCACCTCCACCACCGCCATCACCACCGCCACCACCACCACCACGTCCACCACCACCACGACGTCCACCCTCTTGTCCACCCCCCTCCTGCAGGAGCCTGGCTCTGATGGAGTCACGGAGTGCTGTGATGGTCGCCATGGGCAGGCTGCCTGGGTCCACAAACGTCCTCTGGCACAGCCAACACACACACACGCACACACACACTTGAGACACAACGACAACCGCAATTTGCCACTAAGTGGCGGTGACGTCACCACGACGCTTGTGCCAGGCTATGTGCACCTTGAGGCCACGTGAAGTGTCGAACGCCCGCGGGCAGGTCACGGGGCAGACCGAGGTGCCACGGGTCGACTGACTGAGATGACTGGCTGATGCACCACCTGTGCCCCCTACTGTGCCAACCTGCTGTGCTTTAGCCACCCGGCGCTCCGCTCGTTGTTGTGAGCGTCGCTCCTCCGCCCTCCGTTGTTGTTGGAGGGCGACTGCCTCCAACTGCCCAATAGCGTCCTTCACGAGCCTCCTCCACAGAGGCCGATCTCGACACCGCTGGTACCAGTCATCGGCAAGTCCACTCAGCTCCACGTCCTCCTGTACCACATCACTCCATCTCATCTCTAGCCCGTGCCGCACCCATTTATCCCCCTCGATCCGGCCCGAACAAAAGCTGTTTAGGCATGCGGTGGCTGGGCATGTGGGCAACATGGCCCAACCAACGCAGCCTTGCCTGCCGGAGGAGCTCACCGATGGGACTTTGTCCAGATCTTTCAAGGATTTGTGAGCTCCTCACACAATCCAGCCTGGTTAAACCCAGGATGGATCGTAGGCAGGCCAGCCTAAATGTTTCTAATCGGCAAAGATGTTTCATTAGGGGGGTCCACGTTTCGCAAGCGTAGAGAAGGGAGGGAATGACCGTGGCCAAGAAGACCTGAAGCTTCGTGCGGAGCGACAGACCAGGCAGCTTCCACACAGCGTTACGCAACCGATGAACAGATGATGCCGCTCGACTGATTCGGAGTGAGACCTCCGCTGCCAAAGCGGAGCCGGTCATGAGCACATTGCCCAGGTATGGGAAACTCTCCACTCTCTCCACAACAGCCCCATCACCGATTGGTAGTTGTGGGGGTGGAGTGTCTGATGGTACAAAATACCCAGGCAGGTGCTTGGTTTTGGTGGGGCTGATGGTAAGGCCCCACCTCTTAGTGGCACGCTTCAGTTTCAGCAGCAGCGTCTCCAACTCCTCCTCTGAATGAGCAGCAATTACCAAATCATCGGCATACATAACATGGTTGACCAATAGGGAGCCATCCCTTGACCGCACCCGGGCATCGATCAGCCTCCCATTATATCTGTACCAAATGGAGATTCCCCCGGTACAGCTATTGAAGGCTTCACGAACTACGTGGTCAAAATAGATGTTAAATAATGTGGGAGCCAGAGGACATCCCTGTCGCACCCCAAGGTGTACAGGGAATGGCTCTGACTCCCGGCCACGTAGTTTTACCCGGGCCCGCTCACCATCATGAAGGTCCTTAATGATCGTGAGCAGGGGGTCAGGGACTCCAAAAGCACGAAGAACAACCCAGAGCCCAGGCCTACTGATGGTATCATAGGCCTTGACCAGGTCAATAAAGCAGAGATGTAGGTCTTGTTGGAATTCCCCACACCTCTGCTGTAGCAGACAGAAAATATGGCATCTGTGCAGGAAAGCGCTTTCCTGAAACCGCACTGAGGCTCCGCAAGCCTCTCCTCAGCGTGCCTGGCAAGGCAATGTTGAATAATCCTTGCCAGCACCTTTCCCGGCACACTGAGGAGCGAGATGCCCCTGTAGTTGTTACAGTCTGTGCGGTCCCCCTTCTTAAAGAGAGGGACTGCCAGGGCATCCTTCCAATCCTGCGGAACCCGTCATGTGGTCCAGACTGTTGTTATGATGTCATATAGGGCAGTCTGTGCACAAATGCCACCCTCAGCATTTCGCTTGGGAGATCATCTCTGTCCGGTGCCTTTCCTGGTCTCAGACACCGGATCGCCTTCCGTACTTCCTCAACAGATGGCACCTCAGCCAGCCACTCACAGGGGGTGACTTCTTCCAATATTTGAGGCACCGCAGCCTCAGCAGGGTCATTCCCACTTTGTGCCACGATGTTTTCCTGGCTGGGGGGTTTCCCCTCCCCCAGGACCTCACAGAAATGCTCAGCAAATCTGCAAACCTGTTCCTGGGGGTCGGAGATTGGAACACCATTTTTTCCCCTAATGATGGTAATAGGTGTGGCGCTGCAGGTTACTTTTTTGATGGAGTTAAATAGAGATTTGTAATCGCGTGCCACTGAGGCAGATTCCATCTCCTCAGCAATCCGCGACCACCTCCCATCCTTGCAGCGCCTCACGGCTCTCCGAACCTCCGAGCAAAGGCTGCGGTAAGCCTCCTCATTCTCTGACGTGGCATTCTGTAGCCGATGACAGTGGGCCTGTCGCTTTTTCTCAACTATCCTGAACATGTCATTAGACCTCCTTTGCCAGTACCAAAATATAATAATATGGTTTTTCCCCTTTTTTCTGGCAACAAAACTGAAACCTTTTTTACAAGGTTTCATGTTGCTGCATTAAACACAATACCTGCAGTCAAAATGCAAACAAAAGACATACTATTATAATATATATGCATTGTCCTTGAAACTGATTGGTCCACACCAAGGGACGGCTTTCTTTTGAGCCTCGACCCAATTGGTGCTCGACCAGATGGCTCCTCAGAAATCCGCGCCATCTGGTCGAGCACCAATTGGGTCGAGGCTCAAAAGAAAGCCGTCCCTTGGTGTGGACCAATCAGTTTCAAGGACAATGCATATATTATCATAGTACGTTTTTTGTTTGCATTCTGACTGCAGGTATTGTGGTTAATGCGGTAACATGAATCATTGTAAAAAAAAGGTTTCAGTTTTGTTGCCAGAAAAAAGGGGAAAACCCCTATTATTATATCCTGAACACCTCCTCTGTCAGCCAGGGTCTCTGGGGAGGTCTGGACCGCATACCCAAAGCAGCCATTGCAGCTGCATGAGTCACAGTCCTAAACCTCGCCAATTTACCCTCGACATCAGGAGGAGAAGGGGGACGATGCCAACCCCAGCCGCAAGCGATGATAAAATTCTCGCTTGCAACTTTCATCAGCTAACTGAGACCAGGCCACATTAGGTTGGAATGGGGTCCTGGGTGTACACCCACCACCGGAGTGGAAGAATGACAGGTGCATCTTACAGATGACTAGTCGATGGTCAGAGGGCAGATCAGCTCCACGGTAGGTCCTGGTGTCAAGGACATGGGCTCGCATCCGCTGGTCTGACACTATGTAGTCCAGCAGATGTTCTTGCTTGGACCCGGCATGCATCCATGATGTTGTGTGGATGCGCCGATGCCGGAACAGCGTGTTGGTAATTACAAGCCCATGGGCTGCACAAAAATCTAGCAGCCTCCTACCGTTGTTATTGAGCTGATCTGGCCCATGCCCTCCAATTACTCCAGACCAGGTGCCAGCATCATGACCAACTCGGGCATTGAAGTCACCCAACAAGATGACTCTATCCCGAGGGGCCACTTTAGTCAGCACCTGTGACAGGAGGTCATAGAAGGCATCTGACTCATCGGCTTTGCCTGCATCCCTCCACGGATGTTCATCTTCGGTGGGGGCATGAGTAACCACGACCACCACTCATCGCCTCCGGTTGATGGGGAAGGCAAGCCCAAAGTAGCCTGGAGCTTACAACTTCCCACACCTCACCGCCACGCTCCCACACACCCTTCATTCTTTTGTTCATAAGAAGAGCCGCACCCTGTTGTTTGGCAGTCTGCTGCTCCGAGTAGAGGACTGTCCACCCCTCATGGTGGCAGGAGCCAGAACCGGTCCACCGGACCTCCTGAATGCCACAGAGATCCAGGCGGTACCGGTCCAGCTCCCGACAGAGGAGTGGCAGCCTCTCCTCCGCAGTGAGCGTTCAAACATTCCACGTGGCCACACGAAGTGGCTTGTTGTTGTTTCTGGAGGAGCCCCGAGGGTAGAGATTCAATCTCCCGGCTGCGCCAATTGGGGTTTGGCCAGGAGACGTCACAGAAGCCTGTCCCCTCGTCATCACCATCATCATTATCATCATCGTCGTCATCGTCATCATCGTCGTCAACGTCATCGTCATCGTCGCCGTCATCATCGTCATCATTGTCGTCGTCGTCATCGTCGTCATCGTCGTCATCATCGTCGTCATCATCGCCGTCGTCATCATCATCATCACCATCATCATCATCATTATCATCATCGTCGTCATCGTCGTCGTCGTCATCACCATCATCATTATCATCATCGTCGTCATCGTCATCGTCGTCGTCGTCATCATCATCGTCATCATCGCCGTCGTCATCGTCGTCATCACCATCATCATCGTCATCATCATCATCATCACCGTCATCATCGTCATCATCGTCATCATCGTCATCATCGTCATCGTCGTCGTCACCGTCACCGCCACCTGCATGAACGTGTGGCAGTCGCGGGCGAAGCTCCCCGTGGCCATGGCACGGAAGGCCGTGACGACGGCCGGAAAGCCGCCGGCCGCCAGCACCTGGGCCTGGTGGTGTCGCACGAGCGTCACGGCCACACGGAACAGCACCTTGGAGCCCTCGTAGAAGAGCGAGTCCCACACACGCAGCACCGTCTGGGGGGGCGGGGGGGGCAGGGGGGGCAGGGGGGGCAGGGGGGGCAGGGGGGGGCAGGTGGGGGGCAGGGGGGGGGCAGAGGGGGGCAGCCCGAATCACCGGGAAGGGGTCGGCAGAATGGCGACGAGGCGTTGGAGACGTTCGGTTTATTGGTGGCGGTGGTGGTTGCAGTTGTGGTGGTGGTGGTTGTGGTGGCTGTGGTGGTGGTTGTGGTGGCTGTGGTGGTTGTGGTTGTAGTGGTGGTTGTGGTGGCTGTGGTGGTGGTGGCTGTGGTGGTGGTTGTGGTGGTGGCGGTGGTGGTTGCAGTTGTGGTGGTGGTGGTTGTGGTGGCTGTGGTGGTGGTGGCTGTGGTGGTTGTGGTGGCTGTGGTGGTTTGTGGTGGCTGTGGTGGTGGCAGTGGTGGTTGTGGTGGTTGTGGTGGTGGTTGTGGTGGCTGTGGTGGTGGTGGCTATGGTGGTGGTGGTTGTGGTGGTGGTGGTTGTGGTGGCTGTGGTGGTGGTGGCTGTGGTGGTGGTTGTTGTGGTGGCTGTGGTTGTGATGGTGGTTGTGGTGCTTGTGGTTTTGATGGTGGTTGTGGTGGTGATTGTGGTGGTTGTGGCTGTGGTGGTGGTTGTGGTGGTTGTGGTTGTGATGGTGGTTGTGGTGCTTGTGGTTGTGGTGGTGGTTGTGGTGCTTGTGGTTTTGATGGTGGTTGTGGTGGTGATTGTGGTGGTTGTGGCTGTGGTGGTGGTTGTGGTGGCTGTGGTGGTGGTTGTGGTGGCTGTGGTGGTTGTGGTTGTAGTGGTGGTTGTGGTGGCTGTGGTGGTGGTGGCTGTGGTGGTGGTTGTGGTGGTGGCGGTGGTGGTTGCAGTTGTGGTGGTGGTGGTTGTGGTGGCTGTGGTGGTGGTGGCTGTGGTGGTTGTGGTGGCTGTGGTGGTTGTGGTGGCTGTGGTGGTGGCAGTGGTGGTTGTGGTGGTTGTGGTGGTGGTTGTGGTGGCTGTGGTGGTGGTGGCTATGGTGGTGGTGGTGGTGGTTGTGGTGGCTGTGGTGGTGGTGGCTGTGGTGGTGGTGGTTGTGGTGGCTGTGGTTGTGATGGTGGTTGTGGTGCTTGTGGTTTTGATGGTGGTTGTGGTGGTGATTGTGGTGGTTGTGGCTGTGGTGGTGGTTGTGGTGGTTGTGGTTGTGATGGTGGTTGTGGTGCTTGTGGTTGTGGTGGTTGTGGTGCTTGTGGTTTTGATGGTGGTTGTGGTGGTGATTGTGGTGGTTGTGGCTGTGGTGGTGGTTGTGGTGGCTGTGGTGGTGGTTGTGGTGGCTGTGGTGGTTGTGGTTGTAGTGGTGGTTGTGGTGGCTGTGGTGGTGGTGGCTGTGGTGGTGGTTGTGGTGGTGGCGGTGGTGGTTGCAGTTGTGGTGGTGGTGGTTGTGGTGGCTGTGGTGGTGGTGGCTGTGGTGGTTGTGGTGGCTGTGGTGGTTGTGGTGGCTGTGGTGGTGGCAGTGGTGGTTGTGGTGGTTGTGGTGGTGGTTGTGGTGGCTGTGGTGGTGGTGGCTATGGTGGTGGTGGTTGTGGTGGTGGTGGCTGTGGTGGTGGTGGCTGTGGTGGTGGTGGTTGTGGTGGCTGTGGTTGTGATGGTGGTTGTGGTGCTTGTGGTTTTGATGGTGGTTGTGGTGGTGATTGTGGTGGTTGTGGCTGTGGTGGTGGTGGTTGTGGTGGTTGTGGTTGTGATGGTGGTTGTGGTGCTTGTGGTTGTGGTGGTGGTTGTGGTGCTTGTGGTTTTGATGGTGGTTGTGGTGGTGATTGTGGTGGTTGTGGCTGTGGTGGTGGTTGTGGTGGCTGTGGTGGTGGTTGTGGTGGCTGTGGTGGTTGTGGTTGTAGTGGTGGTTGTGGTGGCTGTGGTGGTGGTGGCTGTGGTGGTGGTTGTGGTGGTGGCGGTGGTGGTTGCAGTTGTGGTGGTGGTGGTTGTGGTGGCTGTGGTGGTGGTGGCTGTGGTGGTTGTGGTGGCTGTGGTGGTTGTGGTGGCTGTGGTGGTGGCAGTGGTGGTTGTGGTGGTTGTGGTGGTGGTTGTGGTGGCTGTGGTGGTGGTGGCTATGGTGGTGGTGGTTGTGGTGGTGGTGGTTGTGGTGGCTGTGGTGGTGGTGGCTGTGGTGGTGGTGGTTGTGGTGGCTGTGGTTGTGATGGTGGTTGTGGTGCTTGTGGTTTTGATGGTGGTTGTGGTGGTGATTGTGGTGGTTGTGGCTGTGGTGGTGGTTGTGGTGGTTGTGGTTGTGATGGTGGTTGTGGTGCTTGTGGTTGTGGTGGTGGTTGTGGTGCTTGTGGTTTTGATGGTGGTTGTGGTGGTGATTGTGGTGGTTGTGGCTGTGGTGGTGGTTGTGGTGGTAGTGGTTGTGGTAGTTGTGGTGGTTTAGGTTGTGGTTGTGATGTTGGTTGTGGTGGTGGTTGTGGTGGTTGTGGTTGTGATGGTGGTTGTGGTGGTTGTGGTGGTTGTTGTGATGGTGGTTGTGGTGGTGGTTGTGATGGTTGTGGTGGTTGTGGTTGTGATTGTGGTGGTTGTGGCTGTGGTGGTGGTTGTGGTGGTAGTGGTTGTGGTAGTTGTGGTGGTTGTGGTTTTGATGGTGGTTGTGGTGGTGATTGTGGTGGTTGTGGCTGTGGTGGTGGTTGTGGTGGCTGTGGTGGTGGTTGTGGTGGCTGTGGTGGTTGTGGTTGTAGTGGTGGTTGTGGTGGCTGTGGTGGTGGTGGCTGTGGTGGTGGTTGTGGTGGTGGCGGTGGTGGTTGCAGTTGTGGTGGTGGTGGTTGTGGTGGCTGTGGTGGTGGTGGCTGTGGTGGTTGTGGTGGCTGTGGTGGTTGTGGTGGCTGTGGTGGTGGCAGTGGTGGTTGTGGTGGTTGTGGTGGTGGTTGTGGTGGCTGTGGTGGTGGTGGCTATGGTGGTGGTGGTTGTGGTGGTGGTGGTTGTGGTGGCTGTGGTGGTGGTGGCTGTGGTGGTGGTGGTTGTGGTGGCTGTGGTTGTGATGGTGGTTGTGGTGCTTGTGGTTTTGATGGTGGTTGTGGTGGTGATTGTGGTGGTTGTGGCTGTGGTGGTGGTTGTGGTGGTTGTGGTTGTGATGGTGGTTGTGGTGCTTGTGGTTGTGGTGGTGGTTGTGGTGCTTGTGGTTTTGATGGTGGTTGTGGTGGTGATTGTGGTGGTTGTGGCTGTGGTGGTGGTTGTGGTGGTAGTGGTTGTGGTAGTTGTGGTGGTTTAGGTTGTGGTTGTGATGTTGGTTGTGGTGGTGGTTGTGGTGGTTGTGGTTGTGATGGTGGTTGTGGTGGTTGTGGTGGTTGTTGTGATGGTGGTTGTGGTGGTGGTTGTGATGGTTGTGGTGGTTGTGGTTGTGATTGTGGTGGTTGTGGCTGTGGTGGTGGTTGTGGTGGTAGTGGTTGTGGTAGTTGTGGTGGTTGTGGTTGTGATGTTGGTTGTGGTGGTGGTTGTGGTGGTTGTGATGGTCGTTGTAGTGGTGACTGTGGTGGCTGTGGTGGTGGTGGTGGTGATGGTGGGGGGTAGTAGTAGTAGTGGGTAGTAGTAGCGGGGGGGGTAGTAGTTGTAGTGGGGGGTAGCAGTGGGGGGGGTAGTGGTAGTAGTGGGGGGGTAGTGGTTGTAGTAGTGGGGGGGGGGGGTAGTGGTTGTAGTAGTGGGGGGGGGGGGGTAGTGGTTGTAGTAGTGGGGGGGTAGTGGTAGCAGTGGGGGTGTAGTGGTTGTAGTAGTAGTGGGTGGGGGGTGTAGTGGTTGTAGTAGTAGTGGGTGGGTGGTGGGGGGTGTAGTGGTTGTAGTAGTAGTGGGTGGGTGGTGGGTGGGTGTAGTGGTTGTAGTAGTAGTAGTGGGTGGTGGGTGTAGTGGTTGTAGTAGTAGTGGGTGGGTGGTGGGGGGTGTAGTGGTTGTAGTAGTAGTGGGTGGGTGGTGGGTGGGTGTAGTGGTTGTAGTAGTAGTGGGTGGGTGGTGGGTGGGTGTAGTGGTTGTAGTAGTAGTAGTGGGTGGTGGGGGGGTGTAGTGGTTGTAGTGGGGGTAGTGGTTGTAGTAGTAGTGGGTGGTGGGAGGGTGTAGTGGTTGTAGTAGTAGTGGGTGGGTGGTGGGGGGTGTAGTGGTTGTATTAGTGGTAGTGGGTGGGGGGTGTAGTGGTTGTAGTAGTAGTGGGTGGGTGGTGGGTGGGTGTAGTGGTTGTAGTAGTAGTAGTGGGTGGGTGTAGCGGTTGTAGTAGTAGTAGTGGGTGGTGGGTGGGTGTAGTGGTAGTAGTAGTAGTGGGTGGGGGTGTAGTGGTTGTAGTAGTAGTGGGTGGGTGTAGTGGTTGTAGTAGTAGTGGGTGGGTGGTGGGGGGGTGTAGTGGTTGTAGTAGTAGTGGGTGGTGGGTGGGTGTAGTGGTTGTAGTAGTAGTGGGTGGGTGTAGTGGTTGTTGTTGTAGTAGTGGGTGGGTGGTGGGGGGGTGTAGTGGTTGTAGTAGTAGTGGGTGGGTGGTGGGGGGGTGTAGTGGTTGTAGTAGTAGTAGTGGGTGGGTGGTGGGGGGGTGTAGTGGTTGTAGTAGTAGTGGGTGGGTGTAGTGGTTGTAGTAGTAGTGGGTGGGTGGTGGGGGGTGTAGTGGTTGTAGTAGTAGTGGGTGGGTGGTGGGTGGGTGTAGTGGTAGTAGTAGTAGTAGTGGGTGGTGGGGGGGTGTAGTGGTTGTAGTGGGGGTAGTGGTTGTAGTAGTAGTGGGTGGTGGGAGGGTGTAGTGGTTGTAGTAGTAGTGGGTGGGTAGTGGGGGGGTGTAGTGGTAGTAGTAGTAGTGGGTGGGTGGTGGGGGGGTGTAGTGGTTGTTGCAGTAGTGGGTGGGTGGGGGTGTAGTAGTAGTGGGTGGGTGTGTAGTGGTTGTAGTAGTAGTGGGTGGGTGGGTGGTGGGGGGGGTGTAGTGGTTGTAGTGGGGGTAGTGGTTGTAGTAGTAGTGGGTGGTGGGAGGGTGTAGTGGTTGTAGTAGTAGTGGGTGGGTAGTGGGGGGTGTAGTGGTTGTAGTAGTAGTGGGTGGGTGGTGGGGGGGTGTAGTGGTTGTATTAGTAGTAGTGGGTGGGGGGTGTAGTGGTTGTAGTAGTAGTGGGTGGGTGGTGGGTGGGTGTAGTGGTAGTAGTAGTAGTGGGTGGGGGTGTAGTGGTTGTAGTAGTAGTGGGTGGGTGTAGTGGTTGTAGTAGTAGTGGGTGGGTGGTGGGGGGGTGTAGTGGTTGTAGTAGTAGTGGGTGGGTGTAGTGGTTGTAGTAGTAGTGGGTGGGTGTAGTGGTTGTTGTTGTAGTAGTGGGTGGGTGGTGGGGGGGGGTGTAGTGGTTGTAGTAGTAGTGGGTGGGTGGTGGGGGGGTGTAGTGGTTGTAGTAGTAGTAGTGGGTGGGTGGTGGGGGGGTGTAGTGGTTGTAGTAGTAGTGGGTGGGTGTAGTGGTTGTAGTAGTAGTGGGTGGGTGGTGGGGGGGTGTAGTGGTTGTAGTAGTAGTGGGTGGGTGGTGGGTGGGTGTAGTGGTAGTAGTAGTAGTAGTGGGTGGTGGGGGGGTGTAGTGGTTGTAGTGGGGTAGTGGTTGTAGTAGTAGTGGGTGGGTAGTGGGGGGTTGTAGTGGTAGTAGTAGTAGTGGGTGGGTGGTGGGGGGGGTGTAGTGGTTGTTGTAGTAGTGGGTGGGTGGGGGGTGTAGTAGTAGTGGGTGGGTGTGTAGTGGTTGTAGTAGTAGTGGGTGGGTGGGTGGTGGGGGGGTGTAGTGGTTGTAGTGGGGGTAGTGGTTGTAGTAGTAGTGGGTGGTGGGAGGGTGTAGTGGTTGTAGTAGTAGTGGGTGGGTGGTGGGGGGTGTAGTGGTTGTAGTAGTAGTGGGTGGGTGGTGGGGGGGTTGTAGTGGTTGTAGTAGTAGTGGGTGGGTGGTGGGTGGGTGTAGTGGTTGTAGTAGTAGTAGTGGGTGGTGGGGGGGTGTAGTGGTTGTAGTGGGGGTAGTGGTTGTAGTAGTAGTGGGTGGGTGGTGGGGGGGTGTAGTGGTTGTAGTAGTAGTGGGTGGTGGGAGGGTGTAGTGGTTGTAGTAGTAGTGGGTGGGTGGTGGGTGGGTGTAGTGGTTGTAGTAGTAGTGGGTGGGTGGTGGGTGGGTGTAGTGGTTGTAGTAGTAGTAGTGGGTGGGTGGTGGGTGGGTGTAGTGGTCTCGCACCTCCACGGGGAGGACGTCAACGTAGAGGCAGAGAAACCAGCGAGCGGTGAGCAGGGGCCAGGGCACGCCGAGCCTGGCCACGTGGCCCGCCACAGCGGGCAGCTTGCTGGCCAGCAGCTCCCCCAGCACCTCCTGGTCCACTCGCACTCCCAGCATGTCCCTGGTGTAGTAGTCTACGCAACGGGGGGGGGCGGGGCCGGGGGCGGGGGCGGGGGCGGGGGTTGGTGGATCACAGAAACGTAAAGTGTTGTTCGGGATGCAAGTGTGTGTGTGAGTGTGTGAGTGTGCCGGTGAGTGAGTGAGTGTGTGAGTGTGCCAGTGAGTGTGTGAGTGTGCCAGCGAGTGTGTGAGTGTGCCAGTGAGTGTGCCAGCGAGTGTGTGAGTGTGTGTGTGAGTGTGTGAGTGTGTGTGAGTGTGTGAGTGTGTGAGTGTGCCAGCGAGTGTGTGAGTGTGTGAGTGTGCCAGCGAGTGTGCCAGTGAGTGTGTGAATGTGCCAGTGAGTGTGTGAGTGTGTGTGAGTGTGTGTGAGTGTGCCAGCGAGTGTGCCAGCGAGTGTGTGAGTGTGCCAGTGAGTGTGTGAGTGTGCCAGTGAATGTGTGAGTGTGCCAGTGAGTGTGCCAGTGAGTGTGTGTGTGCCAGTGAGTGTGTGAGTGTGCCAGCGAGTGTGCCAGTGAGTGTGTGAGTGTGTGAGTGTGCCAGTGAGTGTGCCAGCGAGTGTGCCAGCGAGTGTGTGAGTGTGCCAGTGAGTGTGTGAGTGTGCCAGTGAGTGTGTGAGTGTGTGAGTGTGCCAGTGAGTGTGCCAGCGAGTGTGCCAGTGAGTGTGTGAGTGTGCCAGTGAGTGTGTGAGTGTGCCAGCGAGTGTGCCAGTGAGTGTGTGAGTGTGCCAGTGTGTGTGTGAGTGTGCCAGCGAGTGTGTGAGTGTGCCAGTGAGTGTGTGAGTGTGTGAGTGAGTGTGTGAGTGTGCCAGTTAGTGTGTGAGTGAGTGTGTGAGTGTGCCAGCGAGTGTGCCAGTGAGTGTGTGAGTGTGCCAGCGAGTGTGCCAGTGAGTGTGTGAGTGTGCCAGCGAGTGTGCCAGTGAGTGTGTGCCAGTGTGCCAGTGAGTGTGTGAGTGTGTGTGTGAGTGTGTGAGTGTGTGTGTGAGTGTGTGAGTGTGCCAGTGAGTGTGCCAGTGAGTGTGTGAGTGTGCCAGCGAGTGTGCCAGTGAGTGTGTGAGTGTGCCAGTGAGTGTGCCAGTGAGTGTGTGAGTGTGCCAGTGAGTGTGTGAGTGTGTGTGAGTGTGTGTGTGAGTGTGCCAGTGAGTGTGCCAGAGAGTGTGCCAGCGAGTGTTCCAGTGAGTGTGTGAGTGTGTGAGTGTGCCAGTGAGTGTGTGAGTGTGCCAGTGGGTGTGCCAGTGAGTGTGTGAGTGTGCCAGCGAGTGTGTGAGTGTGTGTGTGAGTGTGTGAGTGTGGCAGTGAGTGTGTGAGTGTGCCAGTGAGTGTGTGAGTGTGCCAGCGAGTGTGTGAGTGTGTGTGTGAGTGTGCCAGTGAGTGTGTGAGTGTGTGAGTGTGCCAGTGAGTGTGTGTGTGCCAGTGAGTGTGTGAGTGTGCCAGCGAGTGTGCCAGTGAGTGTGTGAGTGTGCCAGTGAGTGTGCCAGTGAGTGTGTGAGTGTGCCAGTGAGTGTGTGAGTGAGTGTGTGAGTGTGCCAGTGAGTGTGTGAGTGTGCCAGTGAGTGTGTGAGTGTGTGTGTGAGTGTGTGAGTGTGTGTGTGAGTGTGTGAGTGTGCCAGTGAGTGTGCCAGTGAGTGTGTGAGTATGCCAGTGAGTGTGTGAGTGTGCCAGTGACTGTGTGAGTGTGTGAGTGTGCCAGTGAGTGTGTGAGTGTGCCAGTGAGTGTGCCAGTGAGTGTGCCAGTGAGTGTGCCAGTGAGCGTGCGTGTAAACGAGCGTAACTGCGGAACGACAACAAGATCCATCCCACAACATTAGACCTCCTTTGCCAGTACCAAAATGTAATAATAATAACAATAGGGTTTATCCCCTTTTTTCTTGCAACAAAACTAAAACCTTTTTTATTACAAGGATTCATGCCACTGCATTAACCACAATACCTGCAGTCAAAATGCAAACAAAAGACATACTATGATAATATGATGGTGGCATTGTCCTTGATACTGATTGGTCCACACCAAGGGACGGCTTTCTTTTGAGCCTCGACCCAATTGGTGCTCGACCAGATGACGACAGAAAGCCGTCCCTTGATGTGGACCAATCAGTTTCAAGGACAGTGCATATATTATATTATCACTGTATGTTTTTTGTTTGCATTTTGACTGCAGGTATTGTGGTTAATTCAGTTACATGAATCTTCGTTAAAAAAAAAGGTTTCATCTTCTTTGGTTCTTTCGGTAAAGTCACCCACGTAGAATGAGAATAAAATAATAAATTGATAAAATAAAATAACACAATAAATATTCTCACGACGTTTCACACTCATTCTACGTGGTGGTGACTTTACCGAAAGAACCAAAGAAGATGAATCCTTGCAGTCACGAAAGCTTTAAGTCGAAAAAGGTTTCAGTTTTGTTGTCAGAAAAAAGGGGATAAACCCTATTATTATTATTGTAATAATAAGAGCCATCCCCTCGCCTCGGCGGGATTCACTCGGTCGGTCGGGGAGGGGAGGGGAATCAACTTCTGGTTTCCAGATCGGATTTCGTAATTTCCCCGCTGCCACCCAGCATCTCTCTCGCGATCAAGTGGACGTGTCAGGGACGAGGAGTCACTACCAACGCTGAGGCCCTGGGTTCGAGCCCTGGGTCTGGGTTAGCGTGCATCTCTCTCTCTCTCTCTCGCTAGCAAGTGGGTTCACAAGGGTCGTGTCAGAGACGCTGAGGGCCTGGGTTCGAGCCCTGGGTGTAGGTTTCTGGGTCAGCGAGTCTGTGAATTAGTGAGTCTGTGAGTCAGTGACTCTGTGGGTCAGTGTAGAGACAGTGAGTCTGTGGGTCAGTGAGTCTGTGGGTCAGTGAGTCTGTGGGTCAGTGAGTCTGCAGGTCACAGTCTGTGGGTCAGTGTCAAGTCTGTGGGTCAGTGTCGAGTCTGTGGGTCAGTGAGTCTGTGGGTCAGTGAGTCAGTGGGTCAGTGTCGAGTCTGTGGGTCAGTGAGTCTGTGGGTCAGTGTTGAGTCTGTGGGTCAGTGAGTCTGTGGGTCAGTGAGTCTGTGGGTCAGTGAGTCAGTGGGTCAGTGAGTCTGTGGGTCAGTGAGTCTGTGGGTCAGTGTTGAGTCTGTGGGTCAGTGGGTCTGTGGGTCAGCGTTGAGTCTGTGGGTCAGTGAGTCTGTGGGTCAGGGAGTCTGTGGGTCAGTGAGTCTGTGGGTCAGTGAGTCTGTGGGTCAGTGAGTCTGTTGGTCTGTGGGTCAGTGTCGAGCCTGTGGGTCAGTGAGTCAGTGAGTCTGTGGGTCAGTGTCGAGTCTGTGGGTCAGTGTCGAGTCTGTGGGTCAGTGAGTCTGTGGGTCAGTGAGTCTGTGGGTCAGTGAGTCTGTGGGTCAGTGAGTCTGTGGGTCAGTGAGTCTGTGGGTCAGTGAGTCTGTGAGTCAGTGAGTCTGTGGGTCAGTGTTGAGTCTGTGGGTCAGTGGGTCTGTGGGTCAGCGTTGAGTCTGTGGGTCAGTGAGTCTGTGGGTCAGTGAGTCTGTGGGTCAGTGAGTCTGTGGGTCAGTGAGTCTGTGGGTCAGTGAGTCTGTGGGTCAGTGAGTCTGTTGGTCTGTGGGTCAGTGTCGAGCCTGTGGGTCAGTGAGTCAGTGAGTCTGTGGGTCAGTGTCGAGTCTGTGGGTCAGTGTCGAGTCTGTGGGTCAGTGAGTCTGTGGGTCAGTGAGTCTGTGGGTCAGTGAGTCAGTGAGTCTGTGGGTCAGTGTCGAGTCTGTGGGTCAGTGTCGAGTCTGTGGGTCAGTGAGTCTGTGGGTCAGTGAGTCTGTGGGTCAGTGAGTCTGTGGGTCAGTGAGTCAGTGAGTCTGTGGGTCAGTGTCGAGTCTGTGGGTCAGTGTCGAGTCTGTGAGTCAGTGAGTCTGTGGGTCAGTGTTGAGTCTGTGGGTCAGCGTTGAAGCTGTCACGGTGGCTGTAACCGAGAGAGTAAGCGGGGGGCGTACCAGGAAGGATTCTGCCGATGAGGGCGTCCATGAGCCAAAAGGACTTCTCCTCGGATCTCGTCACAATGAGGAGGTAGCCAGCCAGGAAGTTCATGCCCTGTGTGTGAGCACGTGCAGTGGGGTTCAATCCCACGGAGAAGAATTATACAGGGTGGCCCAAAAGTCAGGACACATAGGGGTTGTTGTTGTTGTTGTTATTATACAGGGTGGCCCAAAAGTCAGGACACATAGGGGTTGTTTTTGATGTTATTATACAGGGTGGCCCAAAAGTCAGGACACATAGGGGTTGTTGTTGTTATGATAGAGGGTGGCCCAAAAGTCAGGACACATAGGGGTTGTTATTATTATACAGGGTGGCCCAAAAGTCAGGACACATAGGGGTTGTTGTTATACAGGGTGGCCCAAAAGTCAGGACACATAGGGGTTGTTGTTGTTATTAAACAGGGTGGCCCAAAAGTCAGGACACATAGGGGTTGTTGTTATTATACAGGGTGGCCCAAAAGTCAGGACACATAGGGGTTGTTGTTATTATGATACAGGGTGGCCCAAAAGTCAGGACACATAGGGGTTGTTGTTGTTATACAGGGTGGCCCAAAAGTCAGGACACATAGGGGTTGTTGTTGTTGTTTTTATAGAGGGTGGCCCAAAAGTCAGGACACATAGGGGTTGTTGTTGTTATACAGGGTGGTCCAAAAGTCAGGACACATAGGGGTTGTTGTTGTTATTAAACAGGGTGGCCCAAAAGTCAGGACACATAGGAGTTGTTGTTATTATACAGGGTGGCCCAAAAGTCAGGACACATAGGGGTTGTTGTTGTTATACAGGGTGGCCCAAAAGTCAGGACACATAGGGGTTGTTGTTGTTATTAAACAGGGTGGCCCAAAAGTCAGGACACATAGGGGTTGTTGTTATTATTATACAGGGTGGTCCAAAAGTCAGGACACATAGGGGTTGTTGTTGTTATTATACAAGGTGGCCCAAAAGTCAGGACACATAGGGGTTGTTGTTGTTATTATACAGGGTGGCCCAAAAGTCAGGACACATAGGGGTTGTTGTTGTTGTTATTATACAGGGTGGCCCACAAGTCAGGACACATAGGGGTTGTTGTTATCATAAAGAGTGGCCCAAAAGTCAGGACACATAGGGGTTGTTGTTGTTATTATACAGGGTGGCCCAAAAGTCAGGACACATAGGGGTTGTTGTTGTTATTATACAGTGGCCCAAAAGTCAGGACACATAGGGGTTGTTGTTATTATACAGTGGCCCAAAGTTAGGACACATTGGGTTGTTGTTATCATAAAGGGTGGCCCAAAAGTCAGGACACATAGGGGTTGTTGTTGTTGTTATTATAAAGAGTGCCCCAAAAGTCAGGACACATTAGGTTGTTGATGTAATTACAGTGGTACCTCGGTAAAAGTCCTCCTACCAGAAGGTAGGGGGACTTATACCTGAAAGTGACGTCCACCAAACGGATTTTTCCCCATAAGAAACAAAGCGAAACGGAATAATCCGTTCGCGAGTATGAGAAACGATATCTTACATGGAGCGTTATACATCAATGCGGCTGCATAACATAATGCAGACGCTACTTATTGCCAAAATGCATGCGCAAACTAAAATAAATGCGCGGATAAATTAAAATAAATTATATTTAAGAAAGAAAAAAATTATATATATATACATACAGCCAAGGGGGGCTGTGGACCGAACGAGATCTACAGGCAGAGCGAGCAGAGGCGCTTCGTCTCAGTCGTGAACGGGGGGTCTTCGCCGGTAGCTCGGTGGAATCATCCCGACCCACACAAGTTCCAGCAAGCAGCGAGACGTCGCATCCCAGGCAAGAACGTCGCACCCCAAGACGGATTTTGTTTTCAAATTCGACGTTTTCCAAAGCGGCCGCACGCCAAGGTACGGCCGCAGTTGACAGCTCAGCGGGGCGGCTCGTCATCATGTGTGGACATTTACAGAGGAGCTACTAGTCGTTGATCATTAACGTGGGGTGAAAAACCGGAGGGCCCGGGAGGGAAATCAACGCGGCCACGGGGAGAGAGAGAGAGCGAGAGAGAGAGAGAAAGAGAGAGCGAGAGAGACACGCAAACTCGAAATATATTTAACCGGCGTCAGGGCTCGGGATAGAATCCACGACCTCCCGCATACTAGGCGAGGCAGTTAACATCTCCTAGCCACCACGGCAACCCAGCCACTGTGCGTGCTGTTCCGCCCTCAAGGGGCGCTTTCTCCCCCAACAAAAAGCACTTGCCCCGACAGCCTGTCAGGGCTACGCGGGGGATCTTTGTCTTGAAATATATTTAACCGGCGTCAGGGCTCGGGATAGAATCCACGACCTCCCGCATACTAGGCGAGGCAGTTAACATCTCCTAGCCACCACGGCAACCCAGCCACTGTGCGTGCTGTTCCGCCCTCAAGGGGCGCTTTCTCCCCCAACAAAAAGCACTTGCCCCGACAGCCTGTCAGGGCTACGCGGGGGATCTTTGTCTTGAAATATATTTAACCGGCGTCAGGGCTCGGGATAGAATCCACGACCTCCCGCATACTAGGCGAGGCAGTTAACATCTCCTAGCCACCACGGCAACCCAGCCACTGTGCGTGCTGTTCCGCCCTCAAGGGGCGCTTTCTCCCCCAACAAAAAGCACTTGCCCCGACAGCCTGTCAGGGCTACGCGGGGGATCTTTGTCTTGAAATATATTTAACCGGCGTCAGGGCTCGGGATAGAATCCACGACCTCCCGCATACTAGGCGAGGCAGTTAACATCTCCGAGCCACCACGGCAACCCAGCCACTGTGCGTGCTGTTCCGCCCTCAATGGGCGCTTTCTCCCCCAACAAAAAGCACTTGCCCCGACAGCCTGTCAGGGCTACGCGGGGGATCTTTGTCTTGAAATATATTTAACCGGCGTCAGGGCTCGGGATAGAATCCACGACCTCCCGCATACTAGGCGAGGCAGTTAACATCTCCGAGCCACCACGGCAACCCAGCCACTGTGCGTGCTGTTCCGCCCTCAAGGGGCGCTTTCTCCCCCAACAAAAAGCACTTGCCCCGACAGCCTGTCAGGGCTACGCGGGGGACCTTTGTCTTGGGTGCGTGCAAGTGAGCGGTGGTGTGGCGGTTCGCGAGCCGCGCTACGAACCCGGCGACCCGAGTTCGATCCCAGCTCACGGCCGACGCCTACCGGTGACGATAATCCGAACTGTTTCCTGGGCCTAGCCTACGTCGACTTGAGCCCCAAAATGAGTGGCCTGGTGCTGTGTGTAGGAAACATCGCCACTGGGGGAGAGACAAAGGCGGCCGGGAGTGGTGGTTGCTGGCCACCCACCCCCCCTCGTGTGCCACAGCGCCGGTAGCCTTCATAGGCGCTGCTCGCTAACAGCACTTGCCCCTACAGCCCTGTTAGAGGCTACACGGGGGATCTTTGTCTGTGTATAGGTGCTGCTGCTACTCGCTAACAGCACTTGCCCCTACAGCCTGTTAGAGGCTACACGGGGGATCTTTGTCTGTGTATAGGTGCTGCTGCTACTCGCTAATAGCACTTGCCCCTACAGTTTGTTAGAGACTACACGGGGAATCTTTGTCTGTGTATAGGTGATGTTGCTGCTCGCTAACAGCACTTGCTCCTGCAGTCTGCTAGAGGCTACACGGGGGATCTTTGCCTTCTGTGTATAGGCGCTGCTGCACGATACTACAAACAGCACTTGCCCCTGCAGCATGTTAGAGGCTACACGGGGGATCTTTGTCTGTGTATAGGTGCTGCTACTACTTGCTACTAACAGCACTTGCCCCTACAGCCTGCTAGAGGCTACACGGGGGATCTTTGTTTGTGTATAGGCGCTGCTACTCGCTACTAACAGCACTTGCCCCTACAGCCTGCTAGAGGCTACACGGGGGATCTTTGTCTGTGTATAGGCGCTGCTCGCTAACAGCACTTGCCCCTACAGCCTGTTAGAGGCTACACGGGGGATCTTTGTCTGTGTATAGGCGCTGCTACTCGCTACTAACAGCACTTGCCCCTACAGCCTGTTAGAGGCTACACGGGGGATCTTTGTCTGTGTATAGGCGCTGCTACTCGCTACTAACAGCACTTGCCCCGACAGCCTGCTAGAGGCTACACGGGGGATCTTTGTCTGTGTATAGGCGCTGCTGCTACTCGCTAACAGCACTTGCCCCAACAGCCTGTTAGAGGCTACACGGGGAATCTTTGTCTGTGTATAGGCGCTGCTACTCGCTAACTAACAGCACTTGGCCCTGCAGTCTGCTAGAGGCTACACGGGGGACCTTTGTCTGTGTATAGGCGCTGCTACTCGCTAACTAACAGCACTTGCCCCTGCAGCCTGCTCGAGGCTACACGGGGGACCTTCGTCTGTGTATAGGCGCTGCTACTCGCTACTACTAACGGCACTTGCCCCTACAGCCTGCTAGAGGCTACACGGGGGATCTTTGTCTGTGTATAGGTGCTGCTGCTGCTACTCGCTAACAGCACTTGCCCCTGCAGCCTGCTAGAGGCTACACGGGGGATCTTTGTCTGTGTATAGGCGCTGCTACTCGCTAACTAACAGCACTTGCCCCTGCAGTCTGCTAGAGGCTACACGGGGGACCATTGTCTGTGTATAGGCGCTGCTACTCGCTACTACTAACAGCACTTGCCCCTGCAGTCTGCTCGAGGCTACACGGGGGATCTTTGTCTGTGTATAGGCGCTGCTACTACTCGCTAACAGCACTTGCCCCTGCAGCCTGCTAGAGCCTACACGGGGGACCTTTGCCTTCTGTGTATAGGCGCTGCTGCACGCTACTACTAACAGCACTTGCCCCTGCAGCCTGCTCGGGGCTACACGGGGGATCTTTGTCTGTGTATTGGTGCTGCTGCTACTCGCTAACAGCACTTGCCCCTGCAGCCTGTTCGGGGCTACACGGGGGACCTTTGTCTGTGTATAGGTGCTGCTGCTACTCGATAACAGCACTTGCCCCTGCAGCCTGCTCGAGGCTACACGGGGGATCTTTGTCTGTGTATAGGCGCTGCTACTCGCTACTACTAACAGCACTTGCCCCTGCAGCCTGCCTGAGGCTACACGGGGGACCTTGGCCTTCTGTGCGTGACCGCCACCTGGCAGTATCCCACGGCGTCGTTGTGGTGGCCGTAGCTGGCGAGGACGCGAGCGAGGGACTCCTTGAGGCTGGGCTGCGCTCCGTCCTGAAAGTACACGTTCTCCGGGAATGTCCTGTTCAGATCTGCGGACGCGCGCGAGCGCACACAGAGACAACAACAACAACAACCGCCATTCACCACGACGCTTGTGCCAGGCCATGTGCACCTTGAGGCCACGTGAAGTGTCGAACGCCCGCTGGCAGGAGGTCACGGGGCAGACCCAGCAGGTGCCACGGGTCGACTGACTGAGATGACTGAGACGACTGGCTGATGCACCACCTGTGAACCCCTACTGTGCCAACCCGCTGTGCTTTAGCCACCCGGCGCTCCGCTCGTTGTTGTGAGCGTCGCTCCTCCGCCCTCCGTTGTTGTTGGAGGGCGACTGCGTCCAACTGCCCAGTAGCAGCGTCCTTCACGAGCCTCCTCCACAGAGGCCGATCTCGACACCGCTGGTACCGGTCATCGGCAAGTCCACTCAGCTCCACGTCCTCATGTACCACATCACTCCATCTCTTCTCCAGCCCGAGCCGCGCCCGTTTAGCCCCCTCCATCCGGCCGAACAAAAACTGTTTCGGCATGCGGTGGCTGGGTATGCGGGCTACATGACCCAGCCAACGCAGCCTTGCCTGCCGGAGGAGTTCACCGATGGGACCTTGCCCAGATCTTTCAAGGATTTGTGAGCTCCTCACATAATCCAGCCTGGTTAAACCCAGGATGGATCGTAGGCAGGCCAGCCTAAATGTTTCTAACCGGCGAAGATGTTCCACCAGGGGGGTCCACGTTTCGCAAGCGTAGAGAAGGGAAGGAATGACCGTGGCCGCGAAGACCTGAAGCTTAGTGCGGAGCGACAGACCAGGTAGCTTCCACACAGCGTTACGCAACCGATGAAAAGATATTGCCGCTCGACTGATGCGGAGTGAGACCTCTGCTGTTAAACTGGAGCCGGTCACAAGCACACTGCCCAGGTATGAGAAACTCTCCACTCTCTCCACAACAGCCCCATCACCGATTGGGAGTTGTGGGGGTGGAGTGTCCGATGGTACAAAATTCCCAGGCAGGTGCTTAGTTTTGGTGGGGCTGATGGCAAGGCCCCATCTCTTAGTGGCACGCTCCAGTCTCAGCAGCAGCGTCTCCAACTCCTCCTCTGAATGAGCAGCTATTACCAAATCATCGGCACACACAACGTGGTTGAGCAATAGGGAGCCATCCCTTGACCGCACCCGGGCATCGATCAGCCTCCGATTATATCTGTACCAAATGGAGATTCCCCCGGTACAGAGGCACACACACAGAGACACACACAGAGAGACACACACAGAGAGACACACAGAGACACACACACAGAGACACACACAGAGAGACACACAGACACACACACACACTTTAGACACAACAACAACCGCCATTCGCCACTAAGTGGCGGTGACGTCACCACGACGCTTGTGCCAGGCCATGTGCACATTGAGGCCACGTGAAGTGTCGAACGCCCGCTGGCAGGAGGTCACGGGGCAGACCCAGGTGCCACGGGTCGACTGACCGAGATGACTGAGATGACTGGCTGATGCACCACCTGTGCCCCCTACTGTGCCAACCTGCTGTGCTTTAGCCACCCGGCGCTCCGCTCGTTGTTGTGAGCGTCGCTCCTCGCCCTCCGTTGTTGTTGGAGGGCGACTGCCTCCAACTGCCCAGTAGCGTCCTTCACGAGCCTCCTCCACAGAGGCCGATGTTGACACCGCTGGTACCAGTCATCGGCAAGTCCACTCAGCTCCACGTCCTCCTCTACCACATCACTCCATCTCTTCTCTAGCCCGTGCCGCGCCCGTTTAGCCCCCTCCATCCGGCCGAACAAAAGCTGTTTCGGCATGCGGTGGCTGGGCATGCGGGCTACATGACCCAGCCAACGCAGCCTTGCCTGCCGGAGGAGCTCACCGATGGGACCTTGCCCAGATCTTTCAAGGATTTGTGAGCTCCTCAAACAATCCAGCCTCGTTAAACCCAGGATGGATCGTAGGCAGGCCAGCCTAAATGTTTCTAACCGGCGAAGATGCTCCATTAAGGGGGTCCACACACAGGGACACACACACAGAGACACACAAAGAGAGACACACACAGAGACACACACACACAGAGACACACACAGAGACACACACACAGGGACACACACAGAGACACACACACAGAGACACACACAGAGACACACACACAGAGACACACACAGAGAGACACACACAGAGACACACACACAGGGACACACACAGAGACACACACACAGAGACACACATAGAGAGACACACACAGAGACACACACAGAGAGACACACACAGAGACACACACACACAGAGACACACACAGAGACACACACACAGAGACACAGACACCTACACAGAGACACAGAGACACCCACACAGAGACACACACACAGACACACACACAGAGACACACACACACAGAGACACACAGAGACACACACACAGAGACACACACAGAGACAAACACACACAGACACACACACAGAGACAAAGATCCCCCATGTAGCCTCTAACAGGCTGTAGCGCAAGTGCTGTTAGCGAGTAGCAGCAGCGCCTATACACAGACAAAGATCCCCCGTGTAGCCTCTAACAGGCTGTAGGGGCAAGTGCTGTTAGTAGCGAGCAGCGCCTATGAAGGCTACCGGCGTTGTGGCACACGAGGGGGTGGGTGGCCAGCACCACGCCCGGCCGCCTTTGTCTCACTCCCCAGTGGCGATGTTTACTGCACACCGCACCAGGTTACTAATTTGAGGGCGAGTCGACCTCGGCGAGGCCCAGCAACGGTGTTTTGGCCGTGACCGGGAATCGAACTCGGGTCGCCAGGTTCGTAGCGCTAACCGCTGCACCACCGCTCCCCACTGTAGACACGCACGCACATATACATAAGACGTACAAAGATCCCCCATGTAGCTCTTTACAGATTGTCGGGGCAAGTGGCTTTGAACCAAACACCTCCACCGTCACACCTCCATCGTCACACCTCCACCGTCACACCTCCACCGTCACACCACCACCGTCACACCTCCACCGTCACACACCTCCACCGTCACACCTCCATCGTCACACCACCACCGTCACACCTCCACCGTCACACCACCACCGTCACACCACCACCGTCACACCACCACCGTCACACACCTCCACCGTCACACCTCCACCATCACACCTCCACCGTCACACCACCACCGTCACACACCTCCACCGTCACACCTCCATCGTCACACCTCCACCGTCACACCACCACCGTCACACCTCCACCGTCACACCACCACCGTCACACCACCACCGTCACACCTCCACCGTCACACCACCACCGTCACACCACCACCGTCACACACCTCCACCGTCACACCTCCACCATCACACCTCCACCGTCACACCACCACCGTCACACACCTCCACCGTCACACCTCCATCGTCACACCTCCACCGTCACACCACGACTGTCACACACCTCCACCGTCACACCACCACCGTCACACCTCCACCGTCACACCACCACCGTCACACCTCCACCGTCACACCTCCACCGTCACACCACCACCGTCACACCTCCACCGTCACACCTCCATCGTCACACCTCCACCGTCACACCACCACCGTCACACACCTCCACCGTCACACCTCCACCGTCACCACCACCGTCACACCTCCACCGTCACACCTCCACCGTCACACACCTCTACCGTCACACCTCCACCGTCACACCTCCATCGTCACACCTCCATCGTCACCACCACCGTCACACCTCCACCGTCACACCTCCACCGTCACACCTCCACCGTCACACCACCACCGTCACACACCTCCATCGTCACACACTTCCACCGTCACACCTCCACCGTCACCACCACCGTCACACCTCCACCGTCACACCTCCACCGTCACACACCTCCATCGTCACACACCTCCACCGTCACACCTCCACCGTCACACCTCCACCGTCACACCTCCTCCGTCACACCTCCACCGTCACACCTCCACCATCACACACCTCCACCGTCACACCTCCACCGTCACACCTCCACCATCACACCACCACCGTCACACCTCCAACGTCACACCTCCACCGTCACACACCTCCACCGTCACACACCTCCACCGTCACTATTCTCACGGCCACAATCACCGCGTTCCAACACCACCACCGCCACCGCCCACAACCGCCACCAGGCCCACCGCCACCACGCCCACCGCCCACAACCGCCACCACGCCCACCGCCCACAACCGCCACCAGGCCCACCGCCCACAACCGCCACCAGGCCCACCGCCCACAACCGCCACCAGGCCCACCGCCCACAACCGCCACCAGGCCCACCGCCCACAACCGCCACCAGGCCCACCGCCCACAACCGCCCACCCACCGGTGGCGATGGTGTCCACGAGGACGGGGTCCTTCTCCTCGGCCAGCAGGCGAGCGTAGTAGCCCACGTTGGCCTCCATGAGCGCCTGTGCCCCGCTCGTCGCCATCCACACGTCCCCCCGGTGCGCGTGGGGAACGCCCTTGCGCACGTAGCGCTTCACTGCCGAGACGGGGACCACCGCGCCGTCACCGCCGCCGCCACCACCACCAACACAACCAACACCACAACCGCCACCGCCGCCACCACCGCCACCGCCACCGCCGCCATCACCGCCACCGCCAACGCCGCCGTCACCGCCACCGCCGCCATCACCGCCACCACCGCCGCCACCACCGCCATCACCGCCACCACCGCCGCCACCGCCGCCATCACCGCCACCGCCACCACCGCCACCACCCGCCACCACCGCCATCACCGCCACCGCCACCACCGCCATCACCGCCACCACCGCCATCACCGCCACCACCGCCACCACCGCCATCACCGCCACCACCACCGCCACCGCCGCCACCACCACCGCATCGTCGGTGTCGCCTTCAATCGGTGTGTCTAAATACAGATCCTGATGAAGCCCCTTGAGAGAAAGACGGACACCGTGACAGAGAGAGAGCCACCCTGGGCCCGGAGTCGAACCCAGGGAAGCCTCCAGACAGCTGGTGCAGTTGTCTCTGACGCCCCAGCGACAGACAGAGACACACAGCGACAGACAGAGACACACAGAGACACACAGAGACAGAGACACACAGAGACAGAGACACACAGAGACAGAGACACACAGCGACAGACAGAGACAGACAGAGACAGATAGAGACACACAGCGAGAGACAGAGACACACAGCGACAGACAGAGATAGACAGAGACACACAGCGAGAGACAGAGACAGACAGCGACAGACAGAGACACACAGCGACAGACAGAGACAGACAGAGACACACAGCGACAGACAGAGACACACAGCGACAGAGACACACAGAGACAGAGACACACAGAGACAGAGACACACAGAGACAGAGACACACAGAGACAGAGACACACAGCGACAGACAGAGACAGACAGAGACACACAGCGACAGACAGAGACACACAGCGACAGAGACACACAGCGACAGACAGAGACAGACAGCGAGAGACAGAGACACATAGCGACAGACAGAGACAGACAGAGACACACAGCGACAGACAGAGACAGACAGCGACAGACAGAGACACACAGAGACAGACAGAGACAGACAGCGACAGACAGAGACACACAGCGACAGACAGAGACACACAGAGACAGACAGAGACACACAGCGACAGAGACAGAGACACACAGCGACAGACAGCGAGAGACAGAGACACACAGCGACAGACCGAGACACACAGCGACAGACCGAGACACACAGAGACAGACAGAGACAGACAGAGACAGACAGCGACAGACAGAGACACACAGCGACAGACAGAGACACACAGAGACAGACAGAGACAGACAGAGACAGACAGCGACAGACAGAGACACACAGCGACAGACAGAGACAGACAGAGACAGACAACGACAGACAGAGACAGAGACAGACAGAGACAGAGAGCGACAGAGACAGACAGAGACAGAGACAGACAGAGACACACAGCGACAGACAGCGACAGACAGAGACACACAGCGACAGAGACAGACAGAGACAGACAGAGACACACAGCGACAGACAGAGACACACAGAGACAGACAGAGACAGAGACAGACAGCGACAGACAGAGACACACAGCGACAGAGACACACAGAGACAGACAGAGACAGACAGAGACACACAGCGACAGAGACACACAGCGACAGACAGAGACACACAGAGACAGACAGAGACAGAGACACACAGCGACAGAGA